CGATGTCCTTTACCGGCCGCTGCCTCAGCGGCGTGCGATATATTCCACAGCGCGGTAGCAGTTCATCGGCTTGGCAGGTGGCCTGCGCGCACCCCCAACTTCTCGCCGCTATTACGCGCTCGTACGCTACGCGAAGTGTGATCGCGTGGGCATGCCGTGTGCACAGCTTCGCGGAGCTCCGCAAATGAGTCAGTTCGCCACGGTCGCATCGCGTGGGCATGAGTGTACTATAACTTCAGCGCGGTGTTTTCGTATTGCTCGTCCAACCTACAGTCCCCTGTTCTCCTTTCATTACTCTGCTCTCTCGTACACACACACCGGCCCGCCTGCCGTATGCTACCGTGTCGCGACAGGTGTGGAGACCTCGGCTTGGAGGTTTACCGACATCGCCGCTCGTGCGCCCCCGTATTCGTTTTTTCTTTCCCTTTTTTGGTGGCTCACTCTCTTTCAGGTGACAGTGGGAAAGAAAAGATGATGAACACCGGCTTGGCCTTGATGTATGCGTTTCTCCTTACGAAATGCGCCTGTATCGGACGATGGAAGGAGTGGCAGCGTTATCACGTAGGTCTTCGGTGTATAGCGGCTATGTAGACGATTTCACGTAAAGCACATGGGCGCCTTTACCTACGGTTGCTATTAAACGAATATTTTCTCATTTTTGTATATCGTTGCGTGAATTGGTAAGGTCAGAAAACGTTTAGTTCTCCAACCGAACCGTCTTCGCGTGGATACGTCGATCCACTGCAGATATGTTCGTTTGAAGTTTCAAATCGACGATGTTAACAGGAGCGCCACCGAAACCCATCAGTAATATAGTATATAGACATCTTCAACTAAGAGGGGGAGTTGAAAATGCTGCAGAACCGTGTGCTCAGACTTGGGTGCGCGTTAAAGGAACCCAGGTGGTTGAAATTTCTGGAGCCCTAAAGGTCTACTACGGTGTCTCTCATTATCATATGGTCGTTTTGGGACGTTAAACACCACATATCAATCAAGATTGATTGATTGATTGATATGTGGGGTTTGACGTCCCGAAACCACCATATGATTATGAGAGACGCCGTAGTGGAGGGCTCCGGAAATTTCGACCACCTGGGGTTGTTTAACGTGCACTCGAATCTGAGTACACGGGCCTACAACATTTCCGCCTCCATCGGAAATGCAGCCGTTGCAGCCGGGATTCGATCCCGCGACCGGCGGGTCAGCAGCCGAGTACCTTAGCGACTAAACCACCACGGCGGGGTCCAATCAAGACATTGAGTACTACCTTTACTAATTGTTGCACCGGAGTATAAGGGCTGACCTTGCAGCCTGGGCAGTGCATCTTTGAAGTTCGCTTATATATTAAACAATCCAGATAGGGCGAGGCCCGTGTGCTCAGATTTGGGTGCTCGTTAAAGAACCCCAGGTGGTCAAAATTTCCGGAGCCCTCCACTACGGCGTCTCTCATAATCCTATGGTGGTTTTGGGACGTTAAACCCCACATATCAATCAAGGCTTATGACGGCGCCTATAAAGCATCATTTGAAAAGCGGTATAAAGCTGCAAAACGTGCTGTTTAGCGTGTCTGTATCACTAAACATGAACATTTCAACCACATGACTAACCAACAGCAGGCCAGTCAAGGCGGCGTTTGGTCGGTCGTGTGATTCGATTGCTCGTGCAAATGCTCGCCCAACACTATTCGAACATGACGAAGTGGATGAATACACAGAGAACATATAATCTCCAAAACAAGACTCGTACACTTGTGCATACGAATAGGCTACATGACCCTTGTGAAAACATGCCGCACGCTGTAGCATGCTCCAGACATTGCTTGCACCGCAGCGCTAGTAGTTATAGCCCGTTGGTTAGATTTGTTTGTTGGTTCGTTTCTTTGTTAGCATCAGTATAGAGAGTCGTGTTTGAGTGCTTCGAAGTCGATACACCTTGCGCACTTTCTAATGCTAAGTATGATGTTGTCTAGCCGCGCCGAACACAATTCCCTCACATTGTGCACGTGCGCGACTCGCTTGCATGTCTGCTCGCAAGGATCGCGTGCTTGCGAACCTTCGACATCTCTTCCGTCGTGCGTCGTGTGCACTATGGTGTGGTCCACCGCGGGCATAACGCACGAGGTGGAACACCGCCGAGCCTCGCCCGACGACTTCGGCGTTCATAAATCTGCCGATACCCGCGTGTTTGCGCCCATGTTAATCCGGCACGCCTTGTGGGCTGTGCCCTGATTTCGTGATGGGAACGCTTCCCTTTGTTCCTGCTTCTTCCCATCACGTTTACATCTTTGTTTTTGGCTCGTCCTCGCATCTGATGCGGCAAGAAGCTAATCGCCTCTCGCACAATCTAATAAAGGGCCACGCTTTGATAGCGTTACGCGAATCGTACGGGGGCATCGGTTTGATGCGGCTGCTGGGACGAGTGGCGTATGGGCTGGGAATCGGGGCGTCGTCCCCCATCGACGCGCTCGATCTCGAATTGCTGATACGCGGGACGAACAAGTGATGCATGCGTCGGCGCGATCTCCGCTGCCTTTATCATAATGCTCGCGCATGTATACTCGCTCGCGCCACTCCGAGCTTGGTGTGCGGCCATGAATTATTTATACAGGGTGGCAACAACGCGGCAGCCGGCTGGCCGGCCGGACAAACGAGCGAAGGCCCCTGTTTTTTCACGCTGGCACGGCTCTCCGGCAATTACGTTCGGCCTGTGGCGCTCTTCTTTCGCGGCTTCTCGAGCAGTCTTGTGTAGGAGACCCGGGCGGTGCCTATTGCTGCCTTAGGAGCGGAGAATCAGGAGAGCATCCGGGGAGCGCCATGGCGCTCTCTCTCTCTCTTTCTCTCTCTCTATAAGGCTCGAGCTCTCGTTGTTCCCTTCTAGACGGCTGCTGCGCGTCGCTGAGGTCAGTAGACGACACCGCCGCTTCCTTGACAAGTCTCGTCCAACTCATTCCTGAGGCGTTTTTGGAAATTCAGTGCGCGCGGGCTTTGCCTGCATGTATATAGGTGGGAGTTCCGCTGATGAGGTGGCGGTTGACGTTACGTATAGCGTGTCCGCTACGTCTGCACTAATGGCGTGCAGTATAGACGAACCTGTTTGGCTGTAGCGTCGATTGCGATTTGTGAGATTATTGTGTACTTACCTACGGTGCAGAAACCTGGAGGCTTACAAAGAGGGTTCGGCTTAAATAGAGGTTGACGCAGCGAGCTATGGAAAGGAAAATGATAGGAGTAAGCTTAAGAGACAAAAAGAAAACAGAGTGAGTCAGGGAACAAACTGGGGTTAAGGATATATCATACTTGAAATACAGAAGAAATGGACATGGGCTGGGCACGTATATAGCGCGTAGGCAAGATAACCGCTAATCATCAAGGGTAATTGACTGGATTCCCAGGGAAGGAAAAAGCGTGAGGGGGAGACAGAAAGTTAATTGGGCCGATGAGATTAAAATTTTTTCAGGTATGAAGTAAAAGCAGAAAGCACAAGACCTGTTTGATTGGCGGATCACGGGAGAGGTATTTATCCTGCAATGGGCGCAGTCAGGGTGATGACGATGATGATGACGATGATGATGATGATGATGATGACGACGACGACGACGACGACGACTGTCTCACAGCAACGATGGTGGCGATGAGGATTGTTTTAAATATTGTGTACAATAGAGTTCCACCTGCCTCTGTGGATAATGCCATGAGAATTCGAATCATAAAGGATGTGGTAATCACGAAAAGGCGCACAAAGAGACGGCAGGTCTATAATTTTTGCATAATTTTTGTTCTGGACTTTCTGACGCGATCCACAGCTTCCATGTCACCGCACGGAAACACGTCACGGAAGGATATTTAGTGTACAAGGATGCGGCCTATCTGCAGCGTGCAAAGCGACGCAAATCACCGCTACCGTGTCACTATCGCGATTGCTCGATTAGCAGTCACTTGCACTGCCTCTCCCGCTTCTTCGAGGCCCTAATAGGGGCTAAGTGGTGAATACCCGTTGGAGTAACGTATACGTTGCATTTAACAACACTGATTAGACACACTATAGACACAACCAATACTCACTCTGTGAAAATTACACGTCCGTGGGCACACTTCGGTAAAAGCCACACGATAATTTGAATTGTTTGGGTTTTATCTTCCGAAACCATGTCGTGATTATGAGGGATTGAGTGGTGGAGGGCTCCGGTAATTTCGACATCCTCAGGTTCTTTAATGCGTGCCTAAATATATGAGTACAAGGGCCTTTAGTATTTTCACCTCCAGAGTACAAGGGCCTTTAGTATTTTCACCTCTATGGAAAATGCAGCCGCTGCGCCTGGGATTCTACCCTGTGAGCTTCGGGCCAAAAGGCAAGCAACATTACGACTATAGGCCACCGAGGCGAATGGGTATATGTTGTTCACGTGGTGTTAACAGTATACGTGTGGAAGTGCGGACATTGAATGAGGACTTTCGATACAGTAAGTTCTCTGCGAAGGTATTGATAACGCAGAACGTTGTCATTAGTGAGAGCCAACAGACAAGCCATGTATGGTTTAGTTAAGTGATTTATAGAAATTGTTATATATATGCAAAGCAATTAAAGGGAACCGAAAGACGGCTTGCCGCCGGCAGAGACCGAAGCTGCAACCTTAAGATAACTCGTCTGATTACCAATCGGTAGGGTATCCGATACCCTACCGATACCCTACTGAAGCTACAAACATTGAATAATATGTCCGGGACATATGATTCAATGTTTGCAGCTTCAGTCCCTAGCTGCCAATGATGAGTCATGATTTCGTCCTCTTTAATTTATTTACTTTTCCTTCATGATTGCTGCCAACAACGTCCTCTGTGCTTTCTTCGGCTTGAGTGTCTCTTATCTTTCATTAAAATTGCGTTTATAACAAACGAGAACGAGCCCTTGAACTCCGCTGCTGTCTTTTAGAACTTTGCATTATATTGCACTTCAACGATATGGCCACCTGTTGATGACCGCCCTCGTCCTTGTGTGCGCAGGAAAGTATGTCGCAACTGCAAGTGTCCCCGCGAGGACCACCAGGACGGCCCAATGGCCGCCAACCAGGCGGAGGTGGACCGACTGCTGCAGAAGGCGACGTCGCCCGCCTACTCCACGTCGCCGCCACCGTCGACGCAGCAGGCGCACCACCACCCGCAAGGTTCTCCGGCTTCAGCCCCCAACCCCGGAACCACCGAGGCCGTCCAGCGGCAGTCGCACTCGGATGACGACAGCGGCTGCGCCCTGGAGGAGTACACCTGGGTGCCTCCGGGACTCAAGCCCGAACAGGTAGGGCAAAGTGCCACGCGGCGCGAAGTGGATCGACTAGCCTGTAACAGGCTAGGCTATACATGCGTGCAAACACGCTTCCGTCGTGCTCGATAGACTCGGCGTCGAGCGGACTCGACGCATTCAATCGACTTCGAGCTCTACCCACTCGGCTTCCGGATCGACTCTGTCATGTCGATTTCATCCACGCGATGTTTATAAGCCACTCAGGTTCGGTATATAGCACTAGGTCACGTCTATAGTTTCCACACGGGCATCTGTATTCCTGCTGTTATGCGTAGTATTTGTGTAGCGCTCACAGTGCCTGCCATTCGTAAGAATAACCCCCGAACGCAGAGATGTTACTTGGCTCGCGACTTCAACTTAGCTTGAGCAAGTCGGCGTGAAGCAAGCACCGGACTTCAAAACGCCCAAGTCAGCCTTCGCGTTTCATAGATGCTCAGGCTGTCTTGCTTGGTCAAGTCAAGAACGAGCTTCAAAGCAGAAACTTGCTGCTCGCCTGCTAACGAGGGTAATTATGAAGTTGTTCGCGTAAGGCATGCATTACATAAAAAAAAACCATATGTTTTAAAATAACTATAAAAACGAAGGGCCACAAGCATATTCTTGCCAATTTACGGCTAACGAGCGGCACGTGGTGCCTGCCGCCACAGCGATGCGCAGAGTTGCTTCTTTAAAGCGTTCGTTGCCCGCTGGTTTTAGTGGCCACCAAAATGCGGGGTGTTTCTCCGTGGTTGCTTGTGTTGAGGCGAAACAAGCATCGCGTTGGGTTCTTCCGTCGTTTTTTTTTTTTTTTTTTCAATCGAACACCATGGCATGTATTTGTGCTGACCTGGCTCACGAGGTGACGCGATTTTCATGGTATTTGCCTTTCTGTTCGCCTGTGTGCATGCCTGTAGTGGGGCTAAGTCGCAGTTATATATGAAAAAAAAAAAAACAAGTTCTGGGAACAAATGTGATTCGTATCCTTTCGTTGAGCTTGGTAAACAAGAGAAAAAGCGGGTGTCAGGACATTTCCCTCAGCAGAATTCTGTTTCGCGGAGTGCAGCAGTGTCTCGCTGCATGATGGTGAAGCGGATAAAAAAACCCGTGATAGGGTCACCTCTTTTTTATATGTGCGGAATTTTACGTAGCGTTGTGCTACAAGCGATGCCTTTCTGAGCGAAAAACAGTGCCCTAGACGGGACGAAAGGATAGACGAGGCACACAGACACAGCGCTGAGTCAATTTTGTACCGAAAGAGGCGGATATTGTCATCGTGTTTAAGAAAAAAAAACAGAAATGGCATTTGCGGTTGTGGAACACTTCGGCGTCGTCACCACCGAAACTATTAATACGCACGTGTGTGTAGTCGACACAGCCTGTAACACCAGGAAACTCAGCCACTTTGATAAAAGTCCCGCATATATAAGTATAGAAAGGGCTGCCGGCTGCGGAAAGCGCACCAGCATTGCGTACAGGTGCTTTGCGATGAGTAGCGTAACTTTTCCTACTGCACGGTAAATTGTCAACTACGGAATGCGGACGAGATTCCCGGTGACTGTTTGGAATGTGCCAGCGCCGTAAAACCCGAGAGCCATCAGTAGCAGTAACACTGGAGGCACAGGCTGTCCTCGGTTGTCCCCACTTTCACGGAGCGGCAACATACCCAGCAGCTGCCGCACGGCGTTCTTCGTGAATCTGTATCGAGCGTGGAATTGTTCCTCGTCGTAGAACTCCATCGGATTTCCTCGGTCACGTAAAGCGGGTACAAGAATCTTCGGCAGGCAGTGCGCCTCAGAAAATGCTACGCTTATGGCGAGGCAAAGCAAACTCAAAAGCCGCCATCCTCCGCGCGACGTCCATTCGAGAGGTGGCCATGTTGAAATAACGCACGAAGTCGCTTTCAAGCTAGCCCCGCAGCTGACTTGAAACTTGTCCTGACTTCGACCGAGCCAAGTCGCCTTCAAGTCGTCCGCAAGTTCGAGAACGATTTATGGCGACCGGCAAGACTGTCTTGAGTCAAGAACGAGTCAAGTATGAGTCAAGTAACATCTCTGCATTCGGGCGTTAAGTTAGGTTTGGAAGCGAAGCTGGTGTAGGGTAGGGTAGGATAGGTTAGGTGAGCTTCTGAAATTTGCGAAATCATTCGTAAATTCAGTAGAAAGCGAAGCTTGACTCAGCGATGAAGAATAGTTCAACAAGGTTGTGCCGCTGGAGCAGAAGTGTCGACAAGTCAGCAACCTTGAAGAAGATGAAGAAGAAGAAGTAGTTTAAAAAAAACTGGTCGAAACGTGGACTGAAGAATTCTTCAAGGATTCGTCAAGAAATCAGTGTGAAAAAACACTCGCAGATGCAAGAGAGTTTATGTCCTCGTGGGTCTCGTGCCTTGGTAGGCCTCGCACGTTTCGGATATGTATGCATAAAAAAAGGAGCGTGGCATGGAAAAGTGGCCTTGCGCAAGCCACCTTTACGAAAGGTGAAAGTTAATTCGACCGGTTTTTGGCCACAGTGCAAGGGGGGTTGGACATCGACTACGGAATGCGTTTCGAGAGAGGCTGGGTAAATGAGCGGAGACCGCCAGTACGGAGGGAAAGGAAGTTTTATGTAACGCAGGTGGCGTCTTGTCAAAAAAGAAAAAACAAGAAGAGAGAAGAGGTGAAGGAGTGTGACAGCGATGGTGTTGGGTGCACTATAAACGTCGGAAAGGGGACTGGGTGTATAAGCGAAAGCGAACACTAATAATAATGAAGAGAGTTTCGTAGCCGCCGGCGACGGCTGCCACTGCTGCTGCCAATTACTCCTATTCAAAACGACCCGAGAGCGGTGCGCGTTGCTTCGAGAGCGGAGGGCCAAACTGCCGGGAGACGAAATGGCTCGGATTATTGCCTTCATTTTCTCTCTCTCTCTCCTTGTTTTCTGCTACAGGTTCTATAGCCTTAGCTCCATTGCATTGCGTCGCCGTCTCCAATCACGCCTCACGACTCGGAATTGCCGATAATGACGCGTGCCGCTGGCGAGTCATCCACGCGCTTACGTATGCCTATACTCCGGTTTTCTTGTTGCGTGCGCTATTAATCGACCCCTGTGTTGCAAACACGATCTCCCAGGCGCAGCTTTTGCTGCTGCGGTAGAGCGGGTAATTCCGTACAGTAGATGCAGATACCCTGTATTACGAAATGAAAGTCGACAGCATAACTTTGTGGACTACATCTGGTGCGGGCGATTGGTCGGGAATCACAGCGTCGTAGGTATGAATCCGGTCGCTTTTAAAGGTGATGTGGCCACCGATGTGAGTTTACGACCAAGTATTAAACGCCTGCGTGACTCAAGCAGAAGCCGCGGGGAACCGAAGTACGTGCGTTATGCAGTCTTAAATCGGCGTCTTCCATTACGTGAATCTCCGTGAATACTAAAGCATCGCGCTGCCTATAGGTGGCAGGTCCGAGTTTCGTTACTGGGGCTGTATTTACGAAACGTCCGCAGTGGCTGTGCTTATGTATGTGTTTAAGTATATGAGCTGATTGCGTATCTCGTAGCGCTTGTGTATGAGTGTTAGGTGGAGGGTTGGTATGTTTCCGGTGTGTCGGAAAATATGGAAAACGTAGATCGAGTGAAGCCGGTCGTCGAATGCGATAATGTTCGCTGGTGCGGCTAGCATGATACGTTCTTCTAAGGAGGGTACAGCGTGTGCAGAGTTGCGTGTCATCTGCACGAATTCTGCAACGCCGAGCACCAGGCTGTCGACGGAATCGCCGAAGGAGTCTGTTGACATTGTAGTGAAGAGGAGAAAGAAGAAGAGTTCCTGCGGTTCTCTTGCGCGCCATCAGCGTTGGTGTTCTACTGTTGCTGCCTCGATTGATTAGATCGTCAGGGCTGGTAATAAATCGCCCTACTTCTGATGATTGTTCTGAAAGATAAAACGCGGTGCGTCATGTCTTTTTCCTTTCTATAAACGATTCTTGCACTTCTTTTGGCCACTTTTCGAGCTATGCGATCACGTGGTATGCCACTCTACGGCCGAGCTAATATGCAAATTTCTCCGAGTAAAGCGAGAGGCAATGATATGTGTGGTATTCAGGATCGCTTTCCTTTGATACGTCTACCGCAGGACTCATTACTGTAAGCATTGCGTGTGGTAAACCGTCTCGGATAATCGCAGCTGACCACGATGCAATCTTGTTTGATCAGTACCTCTTTCTCTTTTTTCGATAGACGTCACAGCATTTTGCGTCTTTAATCATGCTGTCGACGTCGGTGGTTGAGATAGCCGGATACGAAGGCTTCGAGGCGGTTAGGGCGTGGTGCTGGTTGAAGGAGTTGGTTGATATAACTCCAGCTTATAATTTATCTTTGGCATGCGCTGATTGCGGCCTGCCTTGTGTAGCCTGTTCTGTGGCTCCAGCTCTATAAGACGGACGTCGTATGTGTGGTTGAGAATATCTCTAGTTCCTGTCGTTAGGTTCAATCGACCTCTCGTTTTTCAGCTCTGTACCACGGCTTCCTACGAAATATAGCGACAGAGCGTTTCTCTGTTGCAGATATAGCGCACAGGCTGAGCCCTTTAACTGACCCAATAATAACCACGCAGGTTCGACCCCGGCTGTCCCGTTTTGATGTAGGCGAAAATGTTATGTTGGTGGTACTTATATTCAGGCGAGGGTTAAAAACCCCCAAGGTGGTCGAAATGCCTGGAGCATCCTACTAATTTAAACATACACACACACACACACACACACACACACACACACACACACACACACACGTGTGTGTGTTTGTGTGTGTGTGTGTGTGTGTGTGTGTGTTGCGTTTTTAATTTATCTCTCTCTGTGTTCTTGACAATTCCTTATTTCTCCACCCTGTGCAGTATGGCAAGCCGGTTACCTCTACCTGATTGAACTCCCTGCGTTTCTCTTTTCATCTATTTTCTTTTCTCTCTCCTACTCTTTCTCTCTGTATCGTCGTTTCGGCATGCGAAACCCGAGAAATTATTGTGGATATAAGAACCGTAGCTTATTGTT